GGAACGGGTTGACCGACATTGTGGTTTGCCACGACTACGGCCCATTCATGCTTGAGTGTGATCCCAAGGGAGGCTGGATCTCCTGGCTTGAGAACCCCGGTCGTGAGAACTTGGGAAAAGAGCCTTGGAAACTCCGCATGATCGGCCGTTGGCCTGCAATGCATCGCATGAAGGCTGGATACTTTACACAAAAGTAAGATGGAAACTCACAAGATTTAGGCTGCTATTCGTTGAGCTGACCTTTGACTAGATCCGTGATGGAGATTGTTGCCGCGTCGGTTGTCTGTGGACCGCACGACAAGGTTAGTCTGTCGTCGCTGTGGCAGAGTGCATTCTGTTCCTGCTCTCTAATCACTATCTACAGATCACCCCCATCCCCATCATCCGCTTCCAAGCTCCTGAGGATGTCCTCAATGCGTGAGTCAACTGCCTTGAAGCAACATAGTGACATGCTAACAGTTGTCAGCACTGAATGGCAACGCTCAATCATTGACGATGAAAACTTCACCGTCATTCATGAGTTGACGGTTAAAAAGTAGGTCGACGCTTTTCACTTCGCACGCCGACGGGAGGAGCAAAGATTCCTGGAGCTAAACAAAATTCAGATTCAATGGTCCTACTGGACTCGATTCTATCATGGTCTCATCCCGCGAAGGTGCCAACTGGCTTTACTACGAAGAGGGCTCGTGGAAGCGACAGCTCCTCTCTAGCGGGGAGCCGAAAGAGGACCGACAGCAGCCCAACTCTCTATCGCCGGGATCTGGTGACCATTGGGGCACTGGCTGCGCTGATGCTGGCAAGATCGGCGACGACCCGTTTGCTTACATTGCGACATTGGACCCCTTTCACGGTACAACTGCCTGCGTCTTATCCAAGGTTGGTCGTGGTATGAAAGACACACAGTGGAGGCGCCACATCCTGGATATCTATGGCACGCCCAACCAGCTCATGAAGTACGGTGATGGTCCCGGCCACTACATTGTTTGTGCCGATTTCGATGGTAGGTTTCTTTGAGAACAAATGCTTTTGACGGCTGGCTGACCCAGAGTTTTCTACGTGTAGGCGATGGCGACGATGAGTTCCTTCTGGCTTTGTTCGGCTCTCTGGATCGCGACAAGGACCTGGAGTCTATTGTCGTAAGTCTGAATGACGCCCCGCATCTATGACAAGATTTTGGTTGCTGACATTCAGTTCTACAGCCGACAAAGGGACCCAACCCAAACAAGGTGAGTAGAAACGCAACATTTGGTCCTTTCAGGACCCCAGCGGCTCATGTTTCGTAGGGTATCATGTACTACAAGGCAATCGATGTCGAGAAGGGATTGTTCGCGAAGTGGAAGATCGCAGAAGAATCATCAGCTCGCATCGCGATTGGGTAAGTTACCGAGGACGTGTCGGATTGGCTGGTGTAATACTGACACGGCACGTTCGTAGCAACTTCACCGGTTCTGATAAGCTTGACTTAATCTCGGTTGAGTACAATGTTCCTCGGTATTACGAAGAGCCCAAGCCCGTCATTACGCTCCACGTCAATAAGTTTGCCAAGCCCAAGCCCGCCGTGACTGAGCGTCACATCGTACCTACGGTGTGGGACAACGAAGGCTTGGTGTATCTGGCTCGGCCTAAGGAGGTCAAGAGTCAACAGTCTTTCCCTCTGATTGAGGTTGCAAACTACGCAATCAGCATCGAGATTCACCCTCTTGGAGCAAAGATCCCCGTGGGCAAGAAGGATGGCATCAAGGTCCTTTACGGTTCTGTTGCTGATATCGAGGGCACTCGTACAGCCCTCGGCTTGCCTCCCTTCCCCCGGATCGCGCCTATCTCTAGCGAAGACAAAGAACTCAGTGCCGACAAAGAAAAGGGAGCCATCATCCTGAGAATCGTTTCTCTCGGCGAGCCTGGCGTATGGGAGAAGGCCGGAGATGTCCCCGTCAAGACAACGTTCAACACCAAAGAACTTGGCCTGGAGTTCCCCGACCTCAAGTTCACCAAGGTTGAAGATCTTTGGTGGGGTGATAACTTCAAGGGAGTTGACTTCACCAACATGTCTGGTTTTCACTTCCGATTCCAAGACGACAAATCGCAGATCGCGCATTTGCAGTTCTGGACTGCTGGTGAGTTATGATAGTGTTCCAGGAGCAGAAACCATTTCTGATCAATTTGCTTACCATATCCTCTGCAGGACACAATGTCAACTGTGGAGTTCACAACCACGGTAACGATATCTTCCAGGAGATCCACATCTGTCTCTCCCCTGGAACCGAGACTGGAGGTATGTGGAGGCTCAAGGAAGGCAAGGAGCCTGAGTCTGCCGGGCCGGATGACTTCGACAAGGTCCCGCTTCCCCGTCTCAACGAGCATGGAGGTCTGTGGTATCGCGACTCGTACGGCGATGCCGTCCGCGGACACAACAATGTTGTCTCTTACCCATGGCACAAGTGGCAGGGAGGAAAGGGCAAGAACGTCGATGTCTGGCTGGCACTGGAGTTCAACCCTGACTTAGCTCAGTAGGCTGCAGTCTGACGCAGACGTGCAAGATTGGCGAAGTGTTGCTGTCGCTCTCTTATTAATTTTCATAAATCAGGTAGCTTCTAATATTCTAATTCCACTAATCAACAGACTGAGCATTTCGTGCGTGAAGGGCAGGGAGCTGTCGCTTTTACGATCGGACACCATCTCTGATTCTCTGAGTCCTTACGACGATGAGTGAATAGTGGGCGGCTTCCTCATATATAGATAGCTATTGCCTATCATTGGCCCCGAAAACCGAATGCCACTCTCCGACATGAGCGGGGAGGTCTAGATCCACGATGAAAGCTGTGCCAGGCGTATGTCACACCAGGAGCTCAAAACTCCGTGACCAAAACTCCGAACGCGAAACTCCGGCACCAAGACCCACCAACATGCCACCGGTGAAACGAGTCCCAACTAGAAATGCGCGCGTGTCGAATGAGAGACTCGCCAGATACTCCGCATGACTAGGAGATGTTTTCTGAGCTCCATCGTCTATGGGTTTCCATCTGCCGGCAGACGATTGCTGCATCGGGCCGAGCCCGAAACATCGGAGAGGCGAATCTGCCGGAGTTCTGACCAGCTGTGGCACTGACAAAATGAAGCTGTCCCAAACCTCTCTGGCCTAGGGAGTTTCCGAGGCGCACAAAGAACATGTATATAGGGCCTATCTTGATCATAAAGCTTCCTACAACTTTGGCAGAAAGGACGACATCGTTGAGATCATCCGTACTTCACCACAGGTTGCAGCCATGGCAGACTATTCAGTCTTTTCCGAGGCATCTCGGATTCTCAACGATGTTTTGCTTGCCGACCCCGCCTTGCGTCTCCCAGAATCTTTCAAGAAAGCTGCTGAAAAAGTCAAGTTCCTTGGAGATGATGCGAAACCATTCGTCCTCACACCTTTGAAAATCACCGAGTCATCCGCTTCTCTAACTGCCCTGCTAGCCACCGCGGCTAACGTCGCTGCGGCAGAGAGGTACGGAATAGAGTATCAAGACGTCCAAGTCAACACCGATGCCGCGACGCTTTTCCTGGAATCCGTTCTGCTGCCAACGGTCGGCGGCAAGCAGTTTCTCCAAAACCCGCGGATGGCGGCAGAGATTGCCAAGATGGACATACACCAGTCCTCAAAGCCCATCAGGCGGTACGCAACAAACGTCTACAAAACCAAGGACGGCAGATGGTACCACTTGCACGGGTCGATGAACGCTGGGCCAACAATGGAGATGTTGGGTGTCGAAGATGTCGACGTGACCCTAGAAGAAGCTATCAAGATCTACACCGAGAAAGTCGCACGTTGGCATTCCGAGGAAATCGAAGAGGTCGCCAACGAGAAGTACAAACAAGCAGGTGTGGTGTGCCACACACCGGAAGAGTTCTTCTCCAGCGAGCAAGGCAAGATCATGTCCAAGGAACCACTCTGGAACATGACCCGAGTGCCCGCTCCGCGGAAAGAGTGGCCGAAAGCGCGAGATGAGCAGGGTTTCAAGCCGCTCGCGGGCATCAGAATCATTGATTTTTCCCGGGTCATTGCGGCCCCGGCGGTGTCCAAGATGTTGAGCGTCCTCGGAGCCGATGTTCTCCGCGTGTCATGCGATAAGCTGCCCGACTTTGGGGCGACGATGCCGGACTTGCAGACGGGAAAACGGGATACCAACATTGATCTCAAGACGGAAGAGGGGAAGAGGACTTTTGCTGAACTCGTAAAGGGTGCCGATATCCTAGTAGATGGATATCGTCCGGATGCTCTAAAGAGACTGGGATTCGATACGACCTCCTTACGCGAGTTGAATCCCAGCCTGATCTACATGCGGGAGAACTGTTACGGATTCAAGGGACCACTAGCTCATCGATCTGGATGGCAGCAGATTAGTGACTGCTTGGTTGGTCTTTCTCATCTGCAAGGCAAATTTCTCGGCTTAGATGAGGCTGTTGTCCCGCTTCTGCGTGAGTCATTCGGACTCATCGGAGCACAATACATTTGCTAATGATTTTTTAGCCAACTCTGATTACCAAACAGGCTTGGTCGGTGCTACGGCTGCCATCCAGGCCTTGATTGCTCGTACGTCAGAGGATGTCACGTTTGATATTGACATCAGCTTGACACAGTACAACATTTGGTACTACAACCTGGGCCTTTACTCCGAAGAGCAGCAACGGGAGCTCAGAGCCCGGGATCCCGATTTCAACCCGCGGCATTACGACGATATGGGCACTCTGGTTGGTAAGACGCACCAGTCTTGGAAGAAGATTCGCCCCGACATCTTCACCCATCCCGAATACTTCTGGGACATGAGCGGACGGAACTATGGGCTCGACGAGGACATCAGAGTTCTGGCTCCCGCGTTCAAGTTTGAAACGACTCAAATTGGGTGGGAGGAGCCAACAGGTCGAAGAGGAAGGTCGAAGCCCGAGTGGATCTCATGAAGCTTGTTGTGTCTATCTTCGTCCTGAATGGCAAATAGCCTAGGGCACACTTTAGCTTATCAGATGAACATCGAAGTATCATCTCCCAAAAGATGTTCAAATCCCCAAGGAACACCCCAAGAATCGAGGGTATTCTGGTCAAATGGCAAAAAGCTAGTTCCGTTGATCCCGTTGCTTGGATTCGAAGTTGCTTCATGATGAGGCTCGAGTAGGGGAGAAAGCTCTGATACAGTCACTTGAGAAGAGTCTCGCATGGTGTCCGAAGTGCTCTCTTGGTGGACTTGTTTGCCGTGAGCGGCAGTTTGGCCGTGGTCAGAGGTCGTATTTCCTGGTTGCGATGATGTGCTGTCGGACGTATTGAAGGCCCCTAGGGCAGCCCTGTACGCATCCTGACAGACCGTTCGTACCGGAGTCAAATATGAGCCAGGCTCAGAAAGTTCGAGCAAGGCAAGACGCTTCAGAGCTTTTGAGACAGAATCGAGGTCCTCGGCGACGTCTGGTGCGCGGGGTCCACGCACAGTATAAAGGGACAGGATGAGGGTGGCAGTGACACTGATCGGAATCACGTCCCTGGTAGGAATAATTAGCAACTGTTCGTAAAGATTGCGACACGGTTCGCACAATGGGATTACTTACCAAGTCAAGCTTTTCCAGGTATCCGGGACGAGTACATCCAGCTGGAGAATTGCTCTAGCAGCATCCACAGAGTTATGAATAGAGGTTGTGACCTGTCCTGACAAAACTGTAGATGACCACTCCGACGACGCCAAAGACCTCCAGTCATATTCGCTCTGTGCCCGATGAACCAGAATCACGCAATGCCGATAGGTGTAGTTCAAGCGTAGAACAGAAGAGTAGTTGATCAGCTCGGGATGACTTTCGAGATCCAAGACTGTCGAAAACTCCGCTCGCCAGTCATCTAAGTCCTGGTTTAGTGCCTGCGTAGCATCTGAAATGACGCCTGGGTTAATCCCTTCTCCAAGATAGATCTTGGAATATAGTTTAGCTTGGATAACAGCCAGGCGAGAAGCGGCTATGAAAATGTTGACCAGCCCGTTGGAAGGAGCATGGGTGCTGAACTCATGCTGCAACAGTAAATCAGGCAAATCAACCTCAAAGCCACCGAAATCTTGCGCAGGAGGCCGCCCGGTCCGTAGACTCAACTCTCGGTCCAGGGAGAAAGCAAGCCAAAATACATTGGCTCTCGTCGCTTTCTCTATCGGGCTCAGCGACGAGCTGCACTCCTTTCTATGTAACCCGATGGTGTGTGCGAGTCGAATGGCGTTGGCCACCAACATGAAGCTGGGCTGAGGATTGGGAGTACCCAGAAAGAACCACGCTAATATCAACAGAGCCTGGACCGACATGACTTGGGTGGCCCTCATGAGTATATCCAGAACCGTGTCGAGGGCGTTGGCCGCATAGCCCCAGGCCAGTTCCTTGTCGTCGGACATCCCTTGTTCAACGCGTCTGCTTTGAGAAATTGCCAGAACAGCGTTGAATGAGGTCCACCAGGCAGGGCCACCATCGAAATCTCCAGAGTATTGCTGACCAAGCAGTGCAACAAAGGCAGGTGGGTGAAAGAGCGGTAAAGCCATGTATTTTTCCTCGAAGAAGGCTGTAACCAGTGAAAGAGCTTCAGGCCACGACGGCAGATGGCAGTGAACCCGTTTCTCAAAGACTCCTTGTAATTTGGGGTGAGTCCATAGAGACCAAGGTCCTGTTTTTAAGCCCGACTGGGTATTTCGACGCCGGGCCGATGTTGTTTGCTCGTCGAACGGTGGCGGTTGAGTTCGAAATAATGCGATAGCGGAAGATGGGCCTAGAGGGAATCAACTTTTGCATTTGGTTCGGAATAGAGACCTCTCGTACCAAAATATCTCAAGTCTCGTCCTGCACCCATGAGAGAGTCTTGAAGAGATAAATCGTCAATTACAACGAACATTTCACCTAGTAAGTCAAACCCCCCACTTCCCGGCACCCCCCTGTTTCTGGCACCCACAAAAACGCGAAAATCCACCACAACGCAATGCCCACCCCCAACCTCCTTTTATCACAACATTTTCAATTCGAGTCCAAATGGGCTCATTTTTTGCACATACCTTCTTCTATATCTAATGCCTCAATATACCGAAGATCAGCTTCGTCAGGCTCTCGAGGACATCTCAAACGGCAAGAGTCAAAAGAGAGCCTCATTGGAGTATGGGATACCACGATCAACCCTCCAACTACGTCTCCAAGGTGGTCAGACTAGGAAAGTGGCTTTGCTGACTGGCAGAGGCTGTCTCCTGACCAGGAGAGTAAGCTGGCACAATGGGTTCGCATTCAGGCTTCGCTGGGCCTCGCACCAACGCACCAACAGGTGAAGGAATTCGCAGAGCGAGTTCTGGCTGCTGCTGGGGATACCAAACCATTAGGAAAAGGCTGGATCTATGCCTTCGTGAGAAGGAACCCTATCATTAAGGTTCAGAGAAGTCGTTCCATCGATTCTAGACGCGTTAATGGGGCATCTACTGAGGTCATTAGGAACTGGTTTAAGTTCCTTGCTATCCCTGAGATCAAGGACATCAAACCAGCCAACAGATATAATATGGATGAGACTGGCATCCTCGAGGGTCAGGGCTAATGGGTTAGTGCTGGGCATGGCTGAGACGACGTCTGTTCGCAAGAAACAACCTGGGTCGAGGGCATGGGTCTCTATCATTGAGTGTATCTCAGCCTTGGGTAGGGCACTTCGTCCTCTTATCATTTTCAAGGGAAGACGGTCCAACAACAGTGGTTTCCATTACATCTGGTTCCATACGATGGGTGGGAGTTTACAGCAACAGATAATGGCTGGACTACAGACTTAACTGCCATTGAATGGTTAGAGAAGGTGTTTATCCCACAGACTATGCCTGAGGCTGAGGGCGAGGCTCGACTGTTGATTGTGGATGGGCATGGAGTCATACGACGACAGACTTCATGTGGAATTGCTATATTAACAATATCCATTTACTGTTCTTACCACCACACTCCTCTCATGTCCTCCAGCCACTTGACCAGTCTGTCTTCAGCCCTGTTAAGTCAGCCTATCGGAAGGAGCTCGGTTACTTGTCTCAATGGAACGACTCTACCATTATAGGTAAAAGGAACTTCCTGGACTGTTACCAGAAGGCTCGACTTGCTGGTCTATCAGTCTCGAACATCAGAAGTGGTTGGAAGTGGACTGGTCTACACCCTGTAGCGATGGTTAAGCCCCTGATGAACCCTATGGTATTACCTGAGCCTTCTGCTAAGCCCACCACACCCAAACCAACCAGTCGGGGCAAAAAGCGATGCCATAATGGTCAACAAACTACCCTGTTGCCATGGGATTCTGCTTCCTCTGCAGTGGTCTGGTCGACACCCAGGAAGCTGGCAGAGCTCAGCGGTCAACTGCACTTATACACCCAACTCGACAATGATACCAGCACTCAACGGCTGCTGTTCAGGAAGGTGAAAAAAGGCTTCACAGAGCAGGCCTGGCAACTGCTGCCCAGCAGCAGCTGGCTCACCTGAGGGCTCAAGTTACCAACGCTGCAGTTAGGAAGAGGAAGACTGTTCAGATCGATCCCAACACGAAGTTTGCGAACATCAGGGATATCCATCGGGCTCAAATCGAAGCGGGTGAAAAGGAGGTTATTACGGCTGAATCCAGCGACTCTGAATGCCCTAGTGAGGCTGGCAGTTGTATTGTAGTGGGTGTGGTTGAGGATCAATAGTTAATAGTAATGAGGAGGTTGGGTTGTGATCCCATCGTTTTTGTGGGTGCCAGAAACAGGGGGGTGCCAGGAAGTGGGGGGTTTGACTTACACCCACTGATCTCTGATTCAAACTAACCTACAGTAGGAGAGGGTCGCGTTCCGCATGAAGGAGGAGTGTTGCCGCTGCTGTGCAGCTCGGACGGGGGTTCTTGAGAAACGGGTGCTGCCTGTAAATTGTCATGATTTGGGACGCATACTTCGGCTCGAGTCGAGCCATCATCAGGCGATCCGGACACTGAGGTTCCAGCTGTTGCCTGCGCCCTACTGGACCTCGTCCGCCGCCTGAATGGTTTAACAACGTCGGCATAGTTGCACATGAGAGACAGCTCCAGGCATCTACTACATTTGGGTCTACTGCCGTCACACTTGACCTTCTTCATGCGACACAAGTCACATGCCTGTCGAGGTCATTAGCTACCAAACATGTTGCCAAGGACGTACAAAGGATGTTAACCTTGGCGAATCGACGTCGCCTGTCTCCTTTTGTCACACTGTCTGACATATCCGATTGAACGTCTTAGAGGGGATGCATGAAAGCCCCCTTCCGAACTTGAGTCAAGGTAAGTTACCTACCTTAAGGTAAGGCACCCAAGGTTGACTTGAAGAATGGAATGAGGAGTTTGATTGGAGAACCACGGCGACCTCCACAGGAACATGACGGGAGTGCCTCGAAAGCGGATTACCTAAGCGTATCAAGGTGCCTTAAGCGAGAAATCCGTTTAACTGGGGCTGTTTAATCAGACCAATGAAAACCCATCAAATCGTCCAGTAGACTCAGAAAACGGAAGGCACCACCCACTGTCACCCCGTCTAGATCTCCACTATCCATCTGGGCACGGGGTAAATACATCCGCCGTTCAGGGTGTTCTGTTAGTGGCTGTAGTGCCCATAGTCAACTAACCGAAACTCGGCGCCCGAGTTCATAATGTGTGTATTACATTGGACCTCTGCACTTTTGGTTCCTTCCTCGAGTTTTTTTTATTAATATGGACCTATAATAAATACACCTAAACATAATAAAAAGGCTAACATCTGAGATTTGAACACGATGTCTACCTAGCTACTCAAAACATCAAAAGGAAGGGACTTTCTGGTCATAATACAATAGGACCACTACATTATAGAGCCATGCTGGCACCACTATTGTATACGGGTTAATCGCAATACGTATAGTCACTTCCTTCGGCCGATATTTTTGGGTGGGCATATCCCGGGTAGGTAGGTATGACCTATTTTGGTTGTAGGAGATGACTTGTCAATGAGGTAGCTAGAGGTAACCTGATGGGTGCCAAGCGGCGGCTTGTGTTTGGCACAATCAAGACACATAACTGAATTGAGAAGTTGCTATTACTGCATACCTTATCCCACTCTCAGGCTTCCTTTCTACAGATACAGAACTGAAGTAATGCTGATGCCATAAGAGACGTGAGCCTTTCTGCGCGGCAAGTTCCTCAGGCCCACATCAATCGCCCCCAATCGCCCCCATTCGCGTCCATGAGAACCCATTTCCAAACGCCCCCTTCGGTTCCAGCAAAATCCACATTTGCTGGCCAGAAACGTGCAAACATTAGTCATGGAGACCGTGAACGCTGCGTAGCCAGGCACCGAGCATGACGCGCCGGATTTGAGCTGGGTTGTCGATGACCACTACGCTAACAATCTGGCCCGGTCCTTCTCGAAGCCGCGTGATCTCGTCCTTTGACATGAAGTCTTTCGTGAGACCCTCAAACTCAAACATGACCAAGGATTGATGATCCATGATACCGACGGAGCGAGCTGGGGTCGTGAGAGCGTAGGTCGTCGCTTCATGCAGTGTGGTCGTGACATGCGGGGAGTATGGGCTGGCCAACTCCTTGCCCAGCGTAGACTGCTTCTTGTAACGAACAGGTGACTGTCGAAGAACCTGAGCCGCGGTGTAGGCGCTTGCGACGGCTTGTTCGTTACCCGAATTCGTCGCGATCAAGTTCGAAATCTGATGGCCACGTTCATTGATATCCTTGAAGGCGGCACCCAGTCGATCGTGAGTCATTTGCATTTCTCTCTGAAACTCCTTGGTGAAGACCAAGCCCGGTTCCTTGTATTTCAAGACGAGGTTCGAAGTGATCTTTGCTTTGCCGGGCTCGGGAGGGGTGTAGACACACGCGGCTGTCCAGTTGGGGATGCCTGTGATAGACTTGGGCTCATACGGCTCGGGATAAGGAATGTCCGCCGTACTGGAAGCCTGTGTGGTGCTGTCGATTGTGAGTGTTCCATCTGGGTGGCCCCCAAGAAGCACCAATGCGACCACTCGGTTGATTGAGTAGTTAATGATTCTTGCAACATCCCTTTCGTTGCTGGCAAACAGAATCGTGGGATCTGCTCCGCCATCCTGTACACCAGCCAATGTCTCAAAGTTGGCGTTGTCCAGAAAGTCATCTGCGACTTTTGTGTAATATTCGGCATCCCGGTGTCTGAGAGCCTTGGGTAGCTCAACCTGATGGCAAGACTTTGCAGACAAGTCTTTCGGATGGCTGCGAGGCGGGACTGGGATGTTGGGCAACGGTGCGTCGTTACGGATTGCGATGACAATCGGTGGCTTCTGCTGCTGATCTTCCTCCATTGCGTCCGACATCGTGTCTTGGAGGATGCTATGGCTAGCTACGCGATGAAGTTAGTTGCAGTAAAAAAACATTGCGGGGTTGAACATGTAACTGACGAGAGACTTCTGGTGTGTAGGTTTCCAGTGCGGCTGATGGACATGGAGGAAATGATCGACAGGCGGGTGATGGCGAGATCCGCAGGACAACCACAAAGAAGTGATGTTGTGAGGTCCACCCCTTCAGCAATACGTATATATTCGTTTAGGGCTGATGGCTGTGCTCTGAGTCTGGCTGCCTTAGGGAGGTACACGACTGCAAAATCTCGTCCGGTAGCGACTTCCCCTGACGGGATCAATCACCTCACGAGCTTGCCGTCTACCACGTGACTACAACAGAGTTTGTGATTGATCTGGCCAATGGAGATTAAAGCAAAATATGTTCAAAGGTATGAAGTTTGACAATGGACTACAGCCTGCTTCCCCAATGCTCTTTGTGAGCGTACTGATCTTTTTGTTAGGTCTTGTACATCACGTGTATTCTAGCAACTCCTCCTGATAATTCAAAAGCCCAGTCAGTAAGGTAGTCGAGTTTATCACTCCATTTCCGACCTTGATGTTGACCGGTAGTCCACGCATACCTCGTGCTACAGCCGTGCTTTACTAGAGTTTACAGAGACTTTGGATGATTATTGCTAGTTACACGTATCAATCTTGTATAAGAGAGTTGATTAAAGGTGCCAAACCTCCAAGCAGAACCCATCCATCTCTCATGGCGGCATCTCCGTCCTGGACTCCCAACACCAATTTGCAATGCCCCCAAGATTCTCTGTGTCCATCAAGGCAATGTGTACCTTTATCAAACGACCGCCACCATTCAATTTTCTCGTCCCTCGAGCAGAGAACTTTGCGGGACGGTTGGGAAAGCCGCATACTTCTCGTTGACATCCAGACGACCGAATGTCAGAACCACCCATTGGTTGAACAACGGCACATGGTCTTCCTTTCCGGGGGGGCTTGCCCAAGCTGCAGGAATCCATCCTGCAAAGAATTTCCATCTAGGCCAGCCGCATCGAAGAATTGGGTGGGGCTCCAGCGGGTAGTACTCCCACATCTTAGCTGGCCTTGTCCGCAGGTCGTCGACCAATGCGCGCCCGTACCCAACGAGCACGGCTCGAGGTTCATCCAGTGATTCACCCTTGTTTCTCATGATGATGATCACATTCTCTGGATAAACTTCACAGTGATCCACCCCGGTGTATTCTTGTGAGACTGTGCCGCCTAAGAGCTGTTCGATGATCTTCATTCTGCCATCTTGGTCGGCGGCGAAAGACCCCCGAGACCCGGCGCTATTGTGTAGCTCAACCACCTCGGAAATGGGGCCATCGAGCGAAAAGAGATGGTGGAAGGAAGTGCCATCGATAAACTCGGTTGCGAGCACCGCAACATCTCGGGTGCAGTCGGTGAACGATGAACAGATAGACTTGACTGCTGTGGTCCATCCTCCATAGAATTGAGGAGCGACATGGGGGAAGCCAGTGAGCTCCTTTTCAAAGAGGCGGTTATAGGCGCCGAATTCGTCACTGAATGCTGAGTCGGCCTGGACTGTAACTTTGGTGAGGCGCTTGGGAATACCAATGATCGTGTGCCAGAACAAGGGATCGAACACCTTCAGGAAGAGTAGCTGTCCCTCAAAGGGGATCTCATGCTCTCGCTCATTTGGCGCGGCGGGCGATGGCGAAGCGACAACTTTGCAAAGAAGCTTTTGGGGGCCAGGACGGTATCCTTCACCCGGGCTACCGCCAATCATCCGAATGATCTCGACCTCCATGGAAGCAGCATGGTCATCTTGGTTGTTCTTGTCAATGGTCTTGGGCGCATTATTCGGGTGGAAAACCAGCCGTCTGAGCGAAAACGCCTTCTCTTCATCGGATATCATCATGTCGCGAGAAGTCCAGCCATCCGGAAGCGGGTAGAGGTGAGAGCCATAGGGAGGAAGCGGTTTGTGTGACCGGAGAAGGAGCCGCCGGCCTGGAGAGTAAATACTCTCATGTTCAAAAAGAATGCCTCCATCTTCTCTGAGCGGTCTGGCAGCTGTCTCCTCGGGAGAGGAAGAAGCCATGTCGATTTTGTCTCAGAGTCTGACTTTTGATACCCTTGATCAGTCTGATGCCGGTTTAGGCTGAATGGAAGTAGACTTACCCGTTGACTTTGAGAGACAAAGTCGACGCGTTCGCGATGAAACTCACTTGAACTACGAAAAGCTGAGAAAAAAGATGGATGAAGGACGGCAAAGATGAATGAAAAACCTTGAGGTAGGCGAAAGTGAAGATCGAAGGCGCCAAGGTAGGTAAGGGCTTCGGATTACCTTGTGCGGTACCAAGGTGAGGCATGGGAGGGAGGGAAGGCACAAAGGTGGCATCACTAGGACCTTCTAGATGTGTATGGTCAGACCCACTCACGGGGGCAGGTGGCAGTTACTCAGGACTCAAAAAAGAATGCCTGTCACCTTCAGCCCAAGATTATTGCAAAAGAATACTCTTATTATAATGTGTCCAAAGAACATTCCCGAGGGAATACATAACAGACAAGAAAGAAGGATAAGAGTAAGAACGATAAGAAGAATAGGAAGAAAAACATAGACAATAAGAACAACATAAACTATGAGAGTAGTAGCAAGAGTACCTTAGGAAGGGTAGTACTAATAGGAATACCTTGATCAAAAGAGACATAGGTTGCTGGGCGCTAAACCACTGTGTCACCCACTGGGTAAGGTTAGATACGAATTTCGAAGAAAGCATGATGAGAAAAGCTTCCGCGGCTCCACTGGCCAATTCCGATCCACCTCGCCCCATTAAGGTACGAAGACGCTCCTACGCCATAAACGGACACTATAAATCATTGGCAATATTCGAAATCACCGACATGTTGAAATTCCTAATGGTAGACGAAGCTGGGAAGGGGGTGAGGGGGCCTAGGATACATGTATTGGCATATAGGATAATTTGACTTCGCCTGGAGTTCTGGTATCTTGGGCGTGTTTTATCGATCACGGAGTTGGTAATTGCAATTTGTTTGTTATTGAATAAGATCCTATTAACTCTGTGAAGACATTGCTGACATTAACCCCGTCAGCAAAATGGTCTGTCAGCCGGCAAGTAATCTCTTACAGCGACGTGTGGTTCAGCAACAACATACCACAAGCAGTAAACAGTTCAGCGAAGGCTTTCGCCCCTCATGCATCGGCTTCTTCACCAGGGCATACGTGTTGAACATGCACAAATCGGATCGCACCCTCAATGGGCTACTATGGTTGCGTCTCTCAAAAGTATGGCACGAGCTGAGACGCTTTGCTACATGTTACAAGATAACTCAAGGGGTATTATTATCTGCACTATCAAAACTACAAATTCGACGAGATTGGTATTTAAGCGAGGGAAGCGCAGGTGAAGGGGCTGCTGATCTTTCCAGTCTTGAACTTGAGGTCCTATTCGAGACAATTAGCATGGTTACACTTGAGTGGGCATATACAGGGAAACTCACAATCTCAACAATACTGGCGTAGGTACCGCAAACCAGGACAACAATGCCGATGATGAAGGCAAGGCCGTTGAGCGCAGTCTTCATGAGGTTCTCCTTGGCAAAGACGGAACCCTCGCGCATGAGCATGAACCACATCAGGGCAGGGAAGTAGAAAGTAAAGCCGGAGATGAAGAGCGAGGAGCTGATGGACAGAAGCTCGGAGAAGAAGGGGATAGCTTCGGCGATGATGAAGGCGATGATGGTGATGACGGTGATGAGACCGAGCCAAGTGATCCAGCCCATCTTGGTGTTGATGAAGCGGATGATGGAGTCCTTGTAAACACGACCGTGGATGTAGCGGCCGACGACGGTGGTGTTGATGGATCCCGAGATGAAGATGACGGGCAGGGCGACGCCGAACGCAATCTTGGAAATGGTGTTACCGGCGGACAGCAGGGCAGGGGACTTGACATCCTGGCCGACAAAGGCGTAGATGAGGGCGCCAGTGAAGGTGTAGATGAAGATCTCAATCAGACCAAGGGCCCAGATAGACTTCTTGTAGTCGGTCGGGGTGTGCATCTCATCCATGAAGGAGAACTGGCAAATGGCAAAGCTATAGGCGAAGACAATGTTGGTGATGGCGATGAAGGCCTCGGCGAAGGTGATGCCCTCCTTGGGCCAGGCGGACCAGGGAGCGGTGGTGATCTCACCCCTGTTGATACCGGTCGCGATGATGGTGATGCCGATGGCGAGAATGATGGAGACGAAATCAATGTATCCCAGGATGGCGACTTCGGCAAAGGAAGGGGGGATGGCAAGAATCAGCAGGATAATGGCGGAGACGACGGCAAAGACAATGGAGCACGCGCCGTCGTTGGTGATGTTGCCAAAAGCGATGGCGCCGGTGAGGGTGTGAGAGCTAACCAGGAACGTCAACTGAAGCGCGAACATGGCACCGATGATTTCGTAACCCCAGCGGCCAAACATGAGCTGACCTGCGTCGGCGTAGTGCGATACGTGAGGGAACTTGATCTTGACCGCACCGACGACGTCACTGGTGTAGATAGCCACAAGACCGAGACCAATGCAAAGGATAACACCGGCGACCATACCGAGGGAGGCGAAGGCGGCGGGGAGAGACAGACTGCCGAGGGCGATGGCCTCGACGATGAGGACGACGGTGAGACGCTTCCAGCCGAGGCGGTGGAAGTGGGCGCTACCCTGGGCAGCCTTCTGCTTTTCGAGGTCCTGGCGGTTGAGGTCGGTGACCTCGCCGACTACTTCGCCGGGGAAGACGGCATCGCGGGAGAATTGAGGGGCGACGGCGGCGCCGTCAGAGGACTTGGTGTCCTTGTTCTCGGCGGCATGAGCCTGCTGTTGTCTAATCTGGTCGTGATCCATGATGGGCTTCGTGTATGTGTGTGAAGGTTGGAGAGAGTGTGGTTTTTTGGTCTCTAGTCCAAGTTTTGTGTGTGGCGTGGGGCCCGGGCGGAGGAAGAGGAGGAGGAGGGGAGGAAGCTTTGACGGGATGATGTCAAAGGCGAGATGGTTGTCGTTGGAGTTGAGGGCGTTGTATGGGACAAGCACACACGGACGCACAACAGGACGGACCGGGTTGAACAGGTCTAACTTCGGTTGAAGAAAGAGAGAAGAGAGAGAGATGAAGAGTCAAGAGCCGGTTGGACTGAAAGAGAGAAACAACAACGAGAAGATGGGAAGACGGAGGCGGGATATATGGTGGCAAAGGGCGGAGCATCAGCACCGACCCCGGAGTCAGGCCGAGGGCTCGACCTCGTCGAGTTGAAAGCAGTTCACCTCGACTGAGACCCGGAACCTACGATGATTGGACCAGGGTCCTTATCTTTTGGCCCCCCCGCGATCGTGGGCGGTGACACCGGCACCTGGGAAATGGAATGGGATGGGGATGGGGATGGGTAGATGGCCTTACCACGGACGAGGGACGAGAGAGTGGGCGAGTGGGCGGCAAGAGTTCGTCAGCCAGATTACCTAGATGGCTGACATACGGATACTCAAATCCCACGGAAAGCTCTGCTATTCGACGACTCGTACTTTGGACAAGAGAATCATCAACCCGGCCCCCCTTGCTTTGGGACCGGATTCCGTGCGTTTGTGAAATTGCGGGGGAATAAACCGTTGCAGACTTTCCCCGCGAAATCGACCAGCGTCCCTGAGATTCCAGAATTGACACATTGGTCTTTGCGTGAGGCCGCGTGCTGCTTCCCCGAGTTTCCCAGTGAACAATTGTATTTCTCGTTGTCAAGAAAACTAGGAACGCATGCCAGCAAGTTGGAGGTTGCTGACGGGGTTGCTCTGTTCGCGGTCGTGTAAATGCGGGACTGAGGCAATTGGTAGAGTTTTTGCATCGTAATAGGGTGGATATTGTGACCTATTCTTTACCTAAAGGACCCAGAAGCAGAGCCGCAGAGTGGCCTCATCTCGCCCACCTTGAGTCAGTCCATGTTGCTGTTCCCACGGGCGACCCCGAAATACGACCAGTGGCGCGCTGGGAAGAGGCCTGACGTGACTGGGATTTGAAGAGAGATAGTCTGAGCTCCTTTCAGAGAGGGAAACGGACGAAAGAGAAAACTTTGCCTTATCTAGAGTTGCTGAAACTCTAGCGAGGAAAAGAGCGTCATAGGTGACCTTGAACATTGGACGTTGGGCCAAGAGCATGAGGCTCAAAATTTTTCAGACGAAAACGAACAAGAGCCAAAGCCAAGAGTGACGATTGCCGAACAAGGGGGGGGCCTGAGCCCGTCCGTGGGAAAAGACTCCCATAGGCGCAGAGACGTCTCCCACCCTTCCACCCTTCTACCCGTCCCCCTCCTCCCCTTCGAGATGCCTTCCCGCGCTGGCGTAGGCGATTTCTGCAAGCCTTGGGATTGTCTTGAGTGTCTTACCTCGATGCGCTAAACCAGTCGTGGGTTGCAAGGCCGCTTACCCGCAGAGGGCCGCAAAGTTAGACGTAATAGCGCCGCCGCGGTCCCGTAGATTCCCGACATCCTTGAGTCGTGGATCCATGCCGATCCCACCTTTGCCCACTCACACCTGTCACGTATTGGGAAGGCTTCTAGAAGATCGACTGGAAGGCCCCAAAAGGCTTGTCGACGCCTCCTACGCACTTCCCTGCAGATATGGCCACACAAAGCGCACAAAGGGCTGATCCCCCCTGCATATGCCCGTCTTCCCACCCGTGCCACCCCGTCCAGGGCCGCCTGTTGAGCGAGGCGAGCAAGGCGAGATCTCACGCGACGCGGGTTTTTGGAGCGAGCATCCATGCCGGACAGACTTCTCTCGTGCGTGAACGGAACCCATACGGACCCTGTTTTTTTTTTTCGTGTGTCTTCTTCTTGTGCCAGTTCTTTAGGCGAACTCTGACTGGCCAGAGAGGCTTTCTGCTCAATAATTTGACATACAACCATTACCAACCGCAGAGATAACAGTTTCGGAGGCTGGTGTGGTTTTGGTGGGTGATGAGAAAGGAGGTTGCATTTACGCCGAGTTCTCGCCCGACATTAACAGGACACATTCGTGGCAAAGCGAAACTGGTTTCATGGACATTAGGCGGAAAAAAAAAGAGTGACGAGAAAAACGCAACACGTCGATGAACAAGGCTAAACAAGGCAAACAAGGCCATGGATAACAAATGTGCATCAGCAGGTTGTATTGGCGTCTAGTGTAGTTGAGGGTGATAAACTAGCTGATCTACCGCGTTTGGCGGATCCGAAGGTTCAAACTTGCGTCAAACGACTCGGCCGTCGTGCCGCGAGAACCGAGCTACACAGCTTTGGCGTGCGAGATCTTCGTACGAAGGAGCAACTGGAAGCGGTTTGCGACGGGCTTTTGCTCGCTTCTCGTTACCGGGGGGGCAGCCAGCACGAGCAGGGGAGGGTGAAGGACATGGACTGAACGAAGCTGTTGGCAATTCCGATTGTGTCATTGAATCCGGGGTAGAACTGCGGGGATGGGGCCTGTTTGCGTTTGTAATTTGTTAAAGGGCGCGCGCTGTTGGTGTGGCGGTCATCCTCGAAATTATCGTCGCACTCTGTTCTGAACCGGTCTGGTCGTTCCTGGAGATGACATTCCTCCAAACCTGAGTCGTGCCATTCTTCTTTTTGCCATGCTGCCATGTTATCATGATGTTCCCAGTCCATGGTCCCTTTCGGTTTCAGCCGGACGAACGCATCAACGGCCGAGATTGCTGCAACTCGGACCATCCCAGCCGCTGACCACTCCGAGAAGCGGACGATATCGCAAGCTGGAGTCCCCGATCCATGCATCCCTCACGCGGTGAACGCTCCGGCCACACACGGGGAACCCGCGAGCAGCAACTGGGCCAATCCCGTGTCCGTTATTTGACGTTGTGGGAACTCCAAGTGGTTTGCTGCATCCGTGCATTTTCCTCATTTCTACATGACACCAACACCAACACCGCCAGCACCAGTACCGCCTTGGCCGCGCTCCCACGTTGCCCACACTTCATCCAAGACTGGTAAGCAATGCTTATCCCGCCAGAGGAACCCGGAAAGGAGCTGCTGCAGGTTCTCGCGCCTGCATCGTTCCGGCGGCAAAATACCCCTGGCTCGTTCCAGCAAGCTGTTTAGTCTAGACGAGAACCACTCACGGTCCTCGGTTGTTCCGGACCCGACGATGCCCACAAAGAGAACCCACAACAAGGCGGCATCGTGAGACACCCACATGAGTGCAATGGAATCCGCGTCATCGAGGGCGTCGCGCATCCTCCTGACGAGGACCCGAACCATGTGTCCCGTCGTCGGGATCTCTCGCAAAACGGTATAAAGAAACACGTGGGCCGCAGAGACGAGAACTAGGAATCGTTTCTGCACTGGCGTTGCTGTCCGGCGCTCCACGTATAAAAAGTGCAGAATTGTGCTATCGGCCGTGTTCATGACGATCCTGATGTCGTCTGCGGACACGGACACGGCACCGCCTGCCTGCGAGAGAATCGCCTGCCTCAGCGCCACAAAGATCCTCAGCGGCTCGTCGCTCTCGTCGGGGATGTGGCCGCCGAGCTTCTCCAAGTGTCGCAGGGAAGGCGTCCTTGCGCGATTCACGACCGACGGCGGGAGAGACACCTGCGCGAGAGTGTGGAACATGGGGAACTTTGGCACTCTTCCGAGACCCGAGGCTACTTGAATGTCGATCCTGGGGGAGGAATTCTGGTCAGTTACCGTTCGTTGTGGAGGGCAATTGAAGGAGGTCAAGTCACACACCAATTGATGCAGCGACAGAGGATGTAGTCGTGTTTGATCGTCTCCGGTCCCCCTCGAGCTTCTATCATGGCGTGGAGCCCTGTCAAGTGGACGTTTGCCGCCGAAAAGTGACCTTGAAAAGCCTACCAACATATGTGTGTGAGAACTGGAGCATCGGAGTGAGGTGGTGGTATCCGTATGTGAGTGCTAGAAAATCACTTACTTCAACGCTTCCCAGCATGGCCACGCCGGCAAGAACAGAGAGATCATTGCTTGCACTACGGGCAGATTCTTGAGAAGCTAGACGATCTCTGATCATCCGCATCGCTTCCCCCTTTTGCTGGTACCCTTCCCGCTGGAGCTTGAAGTCAAGAAGAGGCATGGTGGCGGTCAGAAACTCTGCTGCCAAGGCCAGCGTAACGCGCATGATGAGAGCGCTCTGCATAGCATAGGGAAACCATGGTCTCTGAGTGTCGATCGTGGTGGAGTTGAGATTGAATCTGGTGGTGACTGGAGAGTTAACTCAGACGCACAGCAGCGGCATGGCGTGACGGCGTCCGGCTCGTGAGCGGTAGAAGCTGCGACTCTTACAATATTTCACCAGAGAGTCTACGCAAGGACTACTTGGAATAGGCAGCGTATTGAAGGGGTCAGCGCTATCGCTCCCCAGTCTCTGTACCCATGGTGGCAGCGATGCTTGGTGCAGAAACCCAGCAATGTCGGATGGAGACTACGGAAGTGTGAGTGATGATGGCCTGAGTCTCGTGGAGAGATGGGGACAAATAGCATACATGGGAACGGCGAGTTGACTGCACATCTTCTTGTTCTTTTTCTTGTTCTTGCAGATGCTTTGGACCCTTGGGTTTGGTTGACTTGAGCGTTGTTCCCGCCAACCTGAATCGTCCCTTCAACTGGGCCTTCTGCTTGATGGTGTCTTGTGAAATTGAGGCCGTCGAGGATCCCAGATCCGAACGGCCCCTCTGGATGGCAGTTCGAATAGCATGACTTCTGGTGGATTTGCTCGCAGTTTGGAAAGTCCCTTCAGTGGCATCGACGGTGATGAACTTGAAATCAGATTTGGGGCCCATGTCAAGGGGAGTTGGACCAGCCGAGGGGCTTCTCTAAGGCTGATGCCCGGTCTGATCTTTAGCGCCACACGCCAGTACTGTCCACATCTCCCACGATCAGTCGTCGTTATGCTGCCAAGATCAATCTGTCGGCCTTCGATATCATAAACCCCTGGACCCGTGCTCAGTAAGGCAACGAGCTAACCAAGGGGCAACAAAGGACAACAGGACCCCCCGCTGCACGTCAACGGCAGCAAGCCTGATTGGTTAAGGCTCACTAGACTTGGCTAAGGTTGGTGAATAAAGTTGGTCCAAATGCCGTGCTCAAGGCTGGGAGTTAGTCATCAACCAGGTACAATGGCCCGAGTTCTTTGCGAAGGATCGTGAGTTGAGGGGAATAGCTACGGAGAAGCTGAGAGCAAAAGGCAGAGAAGGGGGGGGCAGATTGGCCGGCGGAGGTACGTACCGAGGCCAAGACTGACACCGATAAGAAGCTTGCCTAATTCGGCCTAGTTACTCTTAGATCCACTCGATGCAGCCAGTGAACGCCTGTCGCTTAGATGAGTGGGAATTATTCTCCAATGGAGGCACGGGACATGCAATGGACACGTGACATGGGCAGCGTTCATCCGACAGAGATACGTACCTCTCTCAGTTCCAGGCCCGACATTCGTCCGCTTTCGGCCTCCGAGCGGACGAAGCGGACGAAAGATGCGTAAGCACCGACGACATGAACAACATCAGTGAGACAGACAGCAAGCCAGAGCTGCCCATGGCAGTTGATCTGGGCCTTCCAAACAAAATCACGTCTTTTTTATCACTTTTGATTTCGACATAGAGAGCTTTGGTATCTCGAGTCATCTCCTCTGTTGTGATATTTGGCCGTATGTAAGGGCAGCATTCGTTCTCAAGTCGTTTGGTTGAAGCCTATAACAACAATATCCGAAAAGATGGACGAACGACCGACAAAGAAACGTAAAGTCCGAAAGGGAACACGAAGTTGCTGGCAGTGTAAGTTCGTCCGTGGAAGTGCTCCGGTTTCCCGAGCGAGATCCAGCTCTGCCGAATTCCCCGATTCAATCGCTATTCTTGATTTACTAACACCCCGTCCAGGCAGGAAGAGAAAGATCCGCTGCGAGTTCTCCTCCAACGAAGAACAAACCTGCAATGGCTGCCAGGCTCGTGGTGCCGCCTGCGTTAGCCAGGAGTTCACCGATGATGAGCCGTCCGGCCCGCCTGAGCGTGGCCTCGCTCAGCGTCTTGGTCGGTTGGAAGAGTTGATGGTGAAGCTCGCCGACAAAATGGGCCCGGAGCCTTCATCGGTCAACAAATCCACCCCGCCAACACCGTCGGTCGAGGGTTCTCTTCGTGTTTCCGATTCAAATGCCACCCCGGATGACTCGTCTTGGCAGTCCGTGAGTGGGACCACTGCCGTCTCTGCCCCGAATCCCGGCCGCCCCCTATCCCAATCCGCACTGAATCGGCCTACGGCGGAGCGTTCTCGTGCTGGCAGCAAGTACGACAAAATATGCCGCGACATCCACTCCGTGTTCCCATCTCTTCAGGATGCCCAGACCATCGTCCAATCAAGCAGAGGCCCAATCTTCGTATTAATCATTTTTTACTCGTACCAAGATATTCTCGAGGGCAAATCCCAGCCGACGTCTTCTCTCACTGCCATGCCAGATGTCACCAAGCACCCGGCTATCTTGGCAAAGCATTTGCTTCAGTTGACCATTTGTCTGCAGCAGATGCCGCCGTGCTTCGACGTTTCTCAACTCGAGGCATGCCTGAAGTGCTCCATCCAGGAAAAGATGGCAGAGTGGACAGCAGCCGCCAGCGCCGTCACCTCCAACGACGAGTTGGTGGGTTCCGCAGAGGGCTTGGAGTGTCTCATTCTCGAAGGGTTCTACCTCGTCAATTCTGGCAACCTCCGCAAAGCGTGGCTTGCCATGAGAAGGGCTCTTAGCCTGGCACAACTGATGGGCATCGAGCGTGATGGCTCGCGGCCGTTGAAGTCGTGTGATCCCTCAACCGACCCTTCTACGATGCCCTCCTCTCATGCGCTATGGTCCCGTATCAATTCCTGCGATCGATACCTATCCCTACTCCTCGGTCTCTCTGCCGGCACGCAGGATAACAGCTTCATGTCGGAAACCTTTCTGGTCCGTGACACGCCGATGGAAAAACTGGAAAAGAGATACACGGCCATCTCGCTCCGAATCATTGAGAGAAATCGCACTGCAGCGACAGAAGCCTTTGCCATCACTCAATCTGTAGATTGTGAGCTCGAGCACGCGGCAAAGTCCATGGGACGCAGCTGGTGGGAGATCCCACCCGTGCCTGATTACACCGACACAACCGGCCAAATGAGCATCATGTCACACCTGATGCTCCAGATCCATCACCATAGTTTGCTCATCTTGTTACATCTCCCATACATGCTTCGCAACCAGACAAACACCCGGTTCGACTACAGCAAGAATACGTGTCTCGAGTCCAGTAGGGCCGTCCTGAGACGATGCGTCATCTTCCGCACCGCCAACAACGCAGCATTCTCATGCCGACACATTGACTACTCATCACTCATGGCCGCTATGACGCTTCTTCTCGGCCACCTCAGCCGTCCTCCTGGCATTCGTGAAGAGGACTGGGCGAGACAAAGGAGCGAAGACAGGACCTTGGCTGAAACTGTCTTGGCCAAAATGGAGGAACTAGCTGTGTTGAATGACGACAAGCTATCCGGCGAGAGTGCAGAGATCATCAAACAGCTGCTTCCCATTGTCGACTGCTGCAACGGGGTAACTCCACGTCATTGCCCGGAATCAGAGGTGAAGAACCTCCAGTTGAGCATCCCTTATCTTGGAATCATCAATATCAAAACCACCGCAAATCAGACAGCCGAGTCGCACTTGCTGGATCTTAGCCACTCGCAGCTGCCCACACCAGCAAACACAACAACTGTGGCATCGGAATCTCTCCAGCAAGATACTCCTCCGGCAGTATCCTTGGAAGCACTTCTCGGACAGGACAACACCATCCCCCACGAGGACGTGTGTGCGGGCTTCAGCGCCGATTACCTCGGATGGCCATGCCCTGGCATCACGGCAGAGGCTGGGGATTGGGCGTTTCAAGGCGTCGATACCACTTATTGGTCCCTTCTGAACAGCGGCATGTCAGGCGACTTTTCTCAGTGACGAATTCCTGCTTTCAGTGCCCAGCAAGGGACGGAAAAGGCATAGTTGAATCTCTTTGAGCTGTTCAGACGTTAAGGCAGATGGACTGTATTGCAACGAGTCTTTCGAAAAGAGGAATCCACTCCCTATTCAGTCATCCGGGTTGCCCGAAACAGGCATTCAAGGTCGATCTAAGACCTACTCTGTCTAAAGAGCGTAGCATGATTTACGCATCCACTAATACTGAATTCTGTTGGACTATGCTAAGTATTGTCGCTCTGCAGTCGAGCGTGCATAGTCGCAGGCCCCCTTCAAGTCAAATAATCGCGCAGCCTAAACAGGCAAGGGGTCATGCGGCTATTGGACCCTGTGGTTTGCCCAAACCTGGGCCAGAAGGCGCAGCACTTGATCGGGACTACCATTTGTCCTCGGCAAGTCGGCTGGCTCCTCCGTCTCGCCTCATAGTTGGACTCATGTACACAGAAAGCCAGCCAACGAAAGCGGATCGACAAGGTGAAGACCCTTCAACGCAACGCTCAGAAAGACACGATACATGTCTGAGCCTCTGGGGCCAATGTTCATGTGCAACGCTAGCCTCAAGACTCAGGTAGTTTCTGCAACGGAAACAGAGGACAAGGGGCCTTTGCTATTTGGTCGTTGCAATTTGAGGATGCAGATGGAGACAAATCGTACTTCATTTCTCGCTTGGTCGAAGTCGGGAACCTCCGCAGATCCATGAGCCCGGCTCGCAACAAGGCTTTCTCGCATCATTCCCAACATACATATGGCTCGGCACATACGGCCTTTGGAAAAGTGAACATGTTGGACTTTCTCCTTACCTAAGCCAAGCTGCCAAGAGGGGTCTTGGCGCAAACTTTTCAACCTGGATGAGGCTTGCTTGCAACGCTATGTAGTTATGTGCTATATAATTCCCAGAAAGGGGGAATTGGGGCTGAGCAATGCGACTCTACAGACCGCAAAAGTGCTGTCTAATGGATGACTTTACCATGACCCCGGCCAGCCAGCAAGACATTGCGAGAGACATCCCACTCGGGCAATTCGTGCACTACTTTAACTGCGTGGGCCACCAGCATTTGTGCAGCATGCCGGGCAGAAAAACCAGCGCCCGGATCGATACCCGAAAAACGCACTGATGGGGCATCCATCAAGGCTCATGTCCGACAGCCGCACGAGAGTCCATGACTCGTCGCCGAAGCAGAGTCCAACCAGCTCTCTGGTTCTATACTACATACGGGGGCTTGGGGGCGCGTTAGGGGCACATTGGGGGCACACATTGTACAGTTTGGTGGTCTGTATTCCCGATACGCATACAAATTTAGACTTATGCTTAAAGTATCTCACTGCGCAACTCTGAAAAAGGAACGCACTCCAAGAATCAGCAGGAGAACACTGCACGAGAGCCCCGAGATCGACCAGCTTTCTCAGCCAATCAGAGTATTGGTCAAAGAAGAGGAATACTTCTTCCGCCCAGTAAGTTTCCAGATCCACAAACCGTCGACTGATGCCAAGGAGCAAAAGTCCAACACGGCAGTCCCGATTCAGTGACTGGCCCTTAAGGACGTGAAATTGCTAGGCATGGGGAATACTCGGCCGCTGTCCGGATTGGTATTCACTCCACGTCTCTTTTCGGCCATGCGGAGACCCGGCTATGACCCGTGAGCCATTACTGGTCGAGGTAAAGGGCCCATTGAGATCCTTCAGCCTCAAAGGTGGACGGCGACGACCAGGGGAGACTACTGGGACAAAGGGTCTCGAGGTTCTCGGTTCTCGGAATAGACTGCTTTTGGATATTGTCGATGCAGGCTGGGTTGAGTGAGGCACTGGGGGCTTTGGCAAGGTCCCTAGGCTTTCTGAATTATTGCCGGAAATGGGACTGTGGTCAATACGCAGAAGGTAGACGAGAGGATGTGAGACTATATAGAAGGGATGAGGACGAAGGATAAAATGGTAACAGGTCGCTCTCATCATCAGTTTGTTCTGGGAATATTCAGTCTTCATCCAGTCTCTCTCTCTCTCTATCTCTCTCTTTGCATCCACAGCGGCCCTTGCTCTGTTTCACGTCCTGGAAACCAAAAGTCCAAAATCGCAATCCAACTTTCCTCCAGGCTTGACCGCCATTACCTTTGAACACAATGATCTCTTCTGCCCTCTTCGCAGTATTTGGTCTGGCAGCTACCGTCATTGCCGCGCCTCCCCGCCCTCGCACGCTAGCTGCCGACGATGTCATTCTCCTCGGCCACGACGGCACATCCAAAATCATGAAGGCCACGAAATACAATGCTATCGCGTCTGCTACCCCAATACCCGCACAAATCACATCATACAATGTCACAAGCACACCTCACCTCACCCGTCGCGGCTGCCAGCAGAGCACCGAGGTCCAAGTCATGTCAGATGAAGAGTTCCTCAACTGGGACATTGCCATCTCCCCAGTGGCTTCCTCCTTGGAAGGTAGCTCCGCCGGCATCAGTGTCTCCAACGGGGTCGAAATCAGTAACTCGCTCGCTATCGGTTCTGAGATCACCATTGGAGGCTCAGACATTATCAGCGTGTCTTTGGGCATGAATCTGGACATGTCCTGGTCTACTTCCCAGGAAAACTCCCTCGAATTCGATATTCCGGCGAACATGTATGGCGTCATTGTCAGCCAGCCTTTTGTTCGTCGCGTACAGGGTAACTTATTGACGGGGTGCACGGATGACCCGACAAAGACGACTTTCATGGCGGACACGTACGAGAGCCAGGGTTATGGCCAGCTGTCTTGGGTCAAGGGTGTCATTCGGCTCTGCACGAGCAAGACTTATCCTATTCCCTACTGTATTGGCGAGGGCCAACACAAGTGAGTGGAGTAACGTGTCTGGGTGTTGTAGAGCACTTCCTAATTTCAAAAATTGAAAAGGATTTTGATGGTTTATTTTGGGCGGATTATGCTGTACACTTGATAGAGTACTTGGAAAGCTTAGTATCAAAATATGAGCGTAGAGTTTTAGATCCACAGCTCACCGGTTGAACACTGACAGTCTAGACAAGACCAAGTGTTTCTCGTTACCAGTAACCTCTACAAAAGTCCTTGTGAATATGCCGAGATAAGTCAGCACTGAACGTTTTGCAAGTTTTCAAAATGCAGGAAATAGAACAATTACAGTCCGTATCTTTTGGCTGATCATTGGAAATAACCTAATCCAAGTAGGGTAGACTAACAATGTGAGCATAGAGTTGGGCCAACACGACGTAATGTAGGCTAGTTCATCATACACAACAGCATAAAGAACAGAATATTTCTTCAGCTTTCGCCGCCCCAAATATCAGCTCATACGATGACAATGGAACTGGTGGCCGGTAACTGGTAGAGAGATTGATAAGATGAAAACTTGTAGTAACCAGACTCGGTCTAGCATGATGACTCCAATGTAACGCAGCCCACGCAGTAAATCACGCACTTGACCGAAATGGGACTACTGTTAACTAGAAATTCTGCCCGTCCGGGTTAAACTACCTCCAGCCAGTTGAGGAAGTACTTATGCCCTCGCAGTCACAGCAAGCAAGGGGTCGGTATATATCTAACAATATAAACACTCTAACCTCCTCATTCACAAGTTTGTTATGCACGAAATTCAACATAAAGATGGCGTTATGCTAGGTAGGATTTAAAATCGGGGATACCGCACTTCTGGTGTAACATTTAGGACCGCGGTGAATTAACCGACGCAACTTGGTTCTGTCGGCGATGGGGGACTTGGCTCATGCACCCTAGAATCCTTCAGCGATTCTTCAGCAACAAGCGAACAAATCCACACCATGCGCGTGGTCGTCTTCGGCGCAACAGGCGGACAGGGCATCGCCCAAATCTCAGCCCTCAAGGCCGCAAATCACTATCCGATCGCTGTGAGCCGGCAACCCCGCACTACCTCGCCGCCCGTTGAGACTCGTATAGCAGAGCTCACTGACCGGTCCGCCGTCCGTGCTGCTCTGTCCGGCGCAGAAGCCGTCTTGTTGAACTTGCCTTCCTTTCAGCCAGCTGATTTCCTCTATGCTGCCGCAAGGACCATTGGCGCAGAGGCCGCTGCGCAGTCGTCGACTCTGAAGATCATCGTGTTCAACACGAGCTTTCCTGTGCCCGAGAAGAATGTCGGCATTGAAGCTCAGGAGCATCGCCGGGAGACACGCCGGATTTTGCGGGAGGAGGTCAAAGGCAGTGGCGTAGCACTCGTTTCGATTCAACCCGGCGTTTTCCTTGATAACCTACTGGAAGGCTGGGCTTTGCCGCGCCTTCGGGACGAGGGGCGGATAGTCTACTGCCACAAACCCGACCTCGAGGTGTCGTGGATCTCTCTCGATAATCTGGCGCTCCTGATGGTCGCAGCCTTGGCACGGGATCCGGCGGAGCTCGACGGAAGGAACATAGTCGTCGGTGGGCCGGAGACGGTGAGACTGTCTCAACTTGCCGAGAAGTTGGGCCGTGCGTGGGGCCGAAAGGTCGGGTTTGAGAACCAGACGGTGGACCAATTCTCTGAGGAGATGGCTGCGGCATTAAAGTCTCAGATGCAATCTGGTAAAGAGTTGGAAGTCGTCGTGGACGAGACGAGAAGGGCTTACACATGGTACAACGATGCCGAGGAGAAGCCCTTCAAGGTGGATATGGCGCCCGTGTTGGAGGAGCTGAAGGTCAGCTTGACAGGGATTGAGGACTGGGGGAGACTCAAAGGATGTCCCATTCAGATCAAATAAAACCCACGCTGTGCTCATTGTCGGAACATTAATAGCAGCCGAATTTGAGAGCATGCGATGTGAACACTCACATCCTGATCATAGAATGCTTAGGGATATATAGCTTCTACTATCATTCCGGTACCAGTCAGTAAATACTCAGTCTTTGGGTCAACGTGTACCTTCACTTCAGCACACTATCCGTCATACTTGGATCGATTTCTCGAACCTCAATAAGGTTTTGGTACGACCCTGCCATTGAGCCGGGCCTTCATCTGGTCAAGTCTCAATACATGGGAATCGAATACGCCGACCTCCAACGGCAGCACTTAATCTCACATTGCTCCTTGATACCTTGGGCTTAATGAGTAACTTAAGAGAGACTATCCATTGAATAGTGAGTTACTATTTGCGAGCGAGTCTTCATTTTGCTTTCAGTGTTGAGGATATGGGCTTCATATGCCCATGGAGTCTTGACACACCTTATGCCTCTTAGATCAGAGTCCTTCCTCAAACATCGATTTGAATCCCTTTGAATCTCTCAAAGGCATCGACAGCACTCTCTACTTGAGCCTCCATGTCCACACCGTTGATATACATCCCACCTTCCCTCATCTCGGCCTTCATCTCATCCAAGACAATTTCGTGAGGATCGCGGCTGTAAAGTCTCCCGAAACTTCGTGTGATCTCTACAATCTTTTGACTTCTAGGAATCCGCACTTGGTCATAGGCTTTGAAAGCGGCTTCAACCTCGTCTAGGGATGTCAAGCGCAAGAAGATGCCGGTGAGCACTGAGCAATCCTCGATCGCTTGAGCAGCGCCGTTGCCTGAGTGAGGAAGTGTCCCGTGGGCGGCATCACCGACCATGGCTACCCTTCCTTTGTAGTAGGAGGGGGCGTGGTCATGGTCTTGAAGAGTCCAGTCCTCTGTGTGCCCTTTCTCTAAAAGCTAGAATGTGGTTGTTTAGATGACCATGATGCCATGAGGGATAACTTGAAACCATGAAACTTACAGATATCAAGGCATCTACCCCTGGAAGTGAACCCTTCCAGAGTTGAGGGTCTAATGGAACCCCACGTTCCGGGCATTTGGTGTCCGTTTGATAGCAGCCCACGCTGAACGTCTGGCCAAGGTCAAGCGGGATAGCGTTGATGAACCCATAAGGTGTACAATACGTGATGACCGTGTTGACTGACTCTATAGGGACGACCATTTTGGCTTCGGACATGGGGACGGTGGTGTGGAACTGGCGCCATTGGTCGTGATTGACTGGAGCTGCGCTTGGATGACCAGGCCCCAGAACAAACTTCCTCGTCGGGCTGTTGACACCTTCTGCACCGAAAACAATGTCAAACACATCTTGAGTGCCATCTTCGAACGCAACGGTGATTTTACGTGTCAAAGGGTCTTCCTCCATTTTAGCGACTCGCTTGCTGAAGTGAACGCGCTGATGCGGGACCACGTCTTCTTCAAGGAGTCCTTGTATGAAGTGCGCGCGGTGAACGGTCCGCCTGCCCTTGGCCCTTCCCAACTCAGCAAAGATAACTCCAGCGTGTTCACCACTGGTCAATTTGAACTGTGTTGCCATTTCCGTGTTCTCGTCACCAGCCATGAAGTGCGATTTCTTGAAGTACGCCCGCTTGATCTTGGGCGAGATCAAATCCATGGCCCTGATGGCGTTTCCATGTGGTGCAAGACCGGACCCGCGGACTCGGATGTCTGAATATCTCTCAAACAGCTGAACGTCCAAAAGTGGATTCTGGAGAAGACCGACAGCTAGGCAGCAGCCGGCGATACCGGCGCCTAAGATGCCTACGCGAATGCGACTTGCCTCAAAGTTCTCTCCCATAATGCTCGAGTATCAGGTTGTGTTCTGGAGGTCTTGTGTCGGTTGAGACCTGGGCCAGTCAAGTGCGGGGTTGGCGAGTTTTGATCTCAGATTCTACGAAAGGAAGAGAGGAGTCAGGGGCCATGCCGAGAACATCCACTTGACTGTTTGCTTGACCGCAGACCACGGATGCAGACTTGTGCTGTTGGTTGGTGAATGCAACGCATCATGCCATTTTGCTCCACACACCCCCTGTCTCTGGGATATAATTTCTTGGAAATCGTTCGTAAAGTGGCTAGGGCCTTCGGACCATGATTCGATTCAACTAGCGGGCCTGGGAGACTTTAAGGTAAATACTCTAGTATCTCGTTGAAATGGCTTTAGCGCATTGCCAGTGAAAATTTTCAACTTTTGTAACTGAACCATGGTTTTCTGTAGCCTACACAGGGCTCTTTTTGGCGCGCGCGCTGCATGTTCAAAATGGTTCAGTAGTTGAGCTTTTCGTAGTTTGTTTCGTTAAAGCTGACGTGCCTCGTCTTAAACAGTATGATGGGTTCCGGTGTTTCATACCGTGTATGTACAAAGAGGAGACTCAGTATCAGCAGTTCTGGCAGTGGCTGCTTTATTACAATTGAATCCAAATAATTTAGGCCTATTGCTGACATATTAACACATAAGCTTCTACTTATTTCAGAAGCTAAGTGGTTGTTGAAAGCCGATGCAAAGACTTGTGCAATCTCAACCTCTCCCTGAGTCCCCAAGAAATGACATGCCAAGGTTTAACTTCTCTGAGGCTGGGGTAAATATCTCTCAGAACCATTCAAAGCTTTTTCAATTGAGACTGTGTGATGCTAATACTATCAATGGTGGGCAGGAGGCGTGGACATGAATTACTTCGAACTGACAGCCTTGAACAGAGATTGAACATACATCGTTATCTCCCACCAGGCGACCGACCAAAGGTTAATCTGATCAATGACTTAATAATAATTCCTTTCGTCCTTGTCATATTGAACGTTCCGTTTGAGAGAAATTCACAGAGATCTTGAACAAGATTGAGGAACTAGTGACCCTTTCGCCTTTTATCTGACATATCTGATTTGATCATTGCGTCTGTAGTGTTGAGGGCGTGATGCGGTTTGAATCGCGATTTTTGTAAGGTAATTTGCAGGCGGCAAGGGACAGAGAAAATCAGATGGGTTGCACGTGGTCTTCTTTAATCAATCACAAGCACCAATACGTGTATGATACGTCGTTATGTGGTTGTCGCGCAAGTCAAGATTCCAGACGAGATAAACATCAGTCTGACTATCTGCGACTTGACCACTTGCAACGGCTTTGGCCGAAACCTAAGTCTTTGGTTCGACCGTAGAGAAGACGCGCACACGTATCTAGCTAAGGTATGAGATCGACGGTGAAGTCTGGAATGCGAAGTAAGGCCCTAGCGTCCGCACTCCGGTGGCGATTACCAATCTTTAATTCTCGGTGACGTTTTGTCGGGGCATCTCTAGTACCCGACTATCTGACAAATCCGAATTAAAACGTCACTCCAACTCGGCTCAATCCAGCGCCGATGGAACGAGGAAGCGGTTTAGTTGAGTCGCGGGATCTAGTGTTCGTCCGATCGAAGCCATGAAACCAGTTCAGTGGTTACCAGCCTTTTGAAGGGGTCGCAAAGGAGACTCGGGAAGACTTATTATTCAAGCTGAAGATGATGATTTTGCGCCATCTCATTCAAGACTAAAACATTCTGATCCAGCGTTCCAGGTAATAGGCATCAACACCATCGAAGTCTCGAAATTTCAAGAATGACAAAGTTAATAGTTGTCTGTGGCGTGACCGGCAACCAGGTGGGCAATTTGAGATGTTCTTCTGTTTCTACGAGCGAATTCTGACCATACTACGAGTACAAAGGGGCGCTCTGTCGCAGAGACATACCTCAAAGAAGCTGGATGGAGGGTTCGTGGAATCACTCGAGATGCAACCAAGCCAGCTAGCTTGGCGCTGGCTGCCAAAGGCGTCGAAATCGTTGAAGGCGACTTGGACGATGCAGAGTCTCTGAAAGCTGCTCTTCAAGGCGCCAATATTGTCTTCGGAAACACCGTATTTCCCTTTATGTTGGCACTGACCTCGAATCCGCAACTGAAACCAGGACAGTCTATCCTTGAATGGGCCTACGAACTTGAGGTTCAGCAAGGAAAAAACTTGGTAGAGGCCGTTGCCAAGCTAGACTCGCTTCAACTGTTCATCTGGTCAACACTCTCAGCAACTCGAAAATGGTCTGGTGGAAAATTCCAGAATGTCTACCACTTCGATTCCAAGGCTGCTGTGGTTGATCACGTACGGATCCATTTTCCTGATTTGTACAAAAAGACGTCTATGCTGCAATTAGGCCTTTTCATGACCAATTGGAAGTTTGGTCCCGTTAACATTCCATGGGTGAAGGTGCGTGCATTTGGATACGTGCGTGCTCTTTGATTTGGGTTCCTTAGCTGATAAGCAATTTTCGCCTTCAGCGGCGAGACGGCACGATGGTTCTCCGTATGCCAGGAGAACTCAAATATCCAATTCCACATGTTCTCGTTCATGAAACGGGAAAATACGTCAAGGCACTAGCTCAGGCTTCACCAGGCACGCATTTGCTGGCTTACTCTGAGTTTCTGACTTGGCCAGACTATGTGAGCCTGTGGAGTAGGATGACCGGAGTCCCGGCAGTATTTGAATCCATTACCATGGATGATATGGATAAGCTTGCTCCGGGAGGCTTTGGCCTCGAAATTGGGGAGATGCACGCATACTCTATGGAGTTTGGGTACTGGGGAAATGATCCGTCGGTTATATACCCGGAGCAAGTAGGTGCACTATGGTTAAGATTCCCGAACGAGACGAAGCTAACTGTCATCATTATTCAGCTTGGCCTCAAGGGAGAGCTGACCACGATTGCGAATTACATCAAAGGAGAAGACTGGTCTGAACTGCTAGGCCGGCCTGAAATGGTTTGACGTATCAAAACTAGAGGGCCCTTTTCCCTCGTAAACTAGAATTTCATGTTGCTCTAGACATCTTTAGATGAGGTTAGTCTCATTGTATAAGGTACTTGTACTAGGTTCCCGGTGACGTGGGTTTGCCGTCTGTGGGATGAAAAGAGGCTCGAGCCCGCCGTAGTAACTGGAGTTATCTTGTCTGAATTTCAAGAAGATGAGATACTCATGGCTATTGAAGCGTTATGAACGTAGGTCACAAAAGGGGTATCGTTGAAGATCTGATGCAAGCCGGTATCGGTTGATCGATGCACCGATTGTCGCATCCCTCCAATTTGGCAGCCTGCTTCAGTCGAGCATAATTTCTTAGGGGGTTCTCTTCTGGAGCAATTCGGAAGCAGGCTTAAGTTCGAATGTAAAGCATAACAAGGGGACTCTGCATCTGACGTTGATGATCAACTTTGTAGAGTAATAAGGTTATGGATTTCAGTTCCCGTTTTGCATTGGGTAGAACTGTACGGACCTAGCAACGCCGTCTCTTTTCAAGACACCTTAGATGCACCGCGATTAAAAGACACAAATTTGAGGATTGAATTGATTGCTGGAAATAAAGTAGACAGCTACAAGATTAATGGGCACTGTTTTATTCAACAGTAGATTTGAGAGCGACTGGGGTTACAGTGCAATTGTACCCCCCTCTCAAATCAACATCACAGACTAAGCACAGACTTGACAGTCTCATCGATGCTCTCGGTCTTCAAACCTAAGCGGTCGTTCCAAATACCACCCTTGACGTGCGTATGGTCTTCAAGTCCGCCTTCCCCGAGCACCAACGCCATGATCACGGCCGCGCCACCTTCCATGATCTCCCCTTTTCCAAGTTTGGAGAATCCGTCTTCCCTGATCGCTTGTGAGCTGACTTCAACTGTTTTCCATTTCTCACCAGTCATTTTCTCAAGAGAGGCAAGAACCTCGAGTTGAGTAGTTGTGAATGATTCGGTAAAGACAAGCTGATTCTTGGTCTCGTCGGAATGCTTGAGGACGGCAACGATAGCCCGCCCTATTTGTGCCGTGTTACTTGTTGTGAATCGAGTCTCGCCGCCATCTACCAGAGTGGCAGTCTTGGTAGCAAGATTGAAGCCTGTCATCCCGAGTTTTAATCCCTAGAGCAGTCCAACAATGTCAGCAGTTAGACACCCTGAAAAGCCGCTGAAAACAATGAATACAGCTAGGAGGCCTTACCCAATCAAAGAAAGGCCCAGTAATGATGGCGGTCCAACTGAGAACATCCTCCTTGCTTGCGAGCCAGTCAAGGTGAGCCTTTTTTGGCTGGAAAAATGGGACGGCTGCAATAACTTCATCAGACTGTAGTTGATGTTAGTCAGGGGACGTGCATCTGGTGCTGCCTCGTCTGCACAGAGGAACCCCATACCGCAGAGTCGGATCCATATTCGCTGGGAATAAATCTCTTCACGCCTGCCTTTATGGCAGCCTCAACGATTTTCTGCTGCTCTCCAAGAGCCACAATCGGGAGCATGCTGACAACTGCATCTTGGCCAACAAGGATCTTGATCAGGGAATCCTCACTGTAGTCGGTTCTGACAACTTTAGCACCCGGGGGGAAGATTGCGGAAGATCCCTCGCGGCTTAGAATGGTCAAATCAAGGTCAGATTTGAGCAATTCAGGCAGAACGGCCGCGCCGACATTACCACTAGCCTGCACCCATACCTATCGTCAGCAGCCGTGGCAACGAGAGACATTGTTGTAGGAACTTACACCAACGAGAGTGACTTTTTTCAAAGACATTGCGTGAGGTTCAAAGTTGTTCAGGATGCAATAAAGATGCCGATGAAGAAGACAATGAGGCTGGTTATACCTTAGTATACGGAGGTTTATGGATGGGAGTTGAGGCCAAGATATTTATCATCTTCGGCCGTTTTGAAGACAAGCACCTCGCTGCATATACAAGCCTTGAGTGAGGTTCGGTACAAATGGCAAGGAATCAAAACACATGTAGCTTAACCTCTAAAACCGACTAGTCTTCATGGAATCTGCTATGGTGATCTGAAAATGGCCTTGACTTACAAATCCACACTCCTGTCTACCCCGTGTTCCTCCAGTAAATTTCCGGGGGCCGACGAAGGTCTGTAAGGTTATGGGACTCCATGTACATTGATGACCGCAAACAGGAATGCTTGCAGCTGCCTACAGTCGGCTCATCTAGTGTCCGCTAGTATACCACAAATGGAACGTGCTGGGTGCAGATGGGAGGGCAACCACTCGGCCGGGATGATTAGTAAACCACCAGTCTTTGAATATTTGTCCCGTCTTGAATCGGCTAATTCGTTTTTCCAGAGCCTCCTTTCTGAGAAAGCGGCCGCCCCAACGGGACAGATTACAATATACAAATGTTAGAGTATGAAGATGGCATAGGCTGTTGGATTGAGTCATCTCATGGACGGAAATCCAATTCGTCCGAGAGAATTCCACGCGCGAAATTTGATGTCGTGAAGAAACTCAAAGAACGTAGGCGGACCTTACAAACCGGCCTTTCTTTTTCTAAAGCCTGCCCACGCGTGTTCCTCATCTACTCGAGTATTTCAAACTCCAAGGCTCTCGAGTTTTCACCAATCTGTTTGGTCATTTCTGCCTTCCTTTCGAGTGTTCTTGTCCTCCATGCCTCAATCTCACGCTTTTCTGGACAACCGAACACTCCTATCAAGACAATAGAAATTGAAAAAAGGTCCGACACTTGTCTATCCATCGGATCTGTTCGACTCTTCAAAATGAAGGCTTTGGTGTCAAATCGTAGCACACCCGCACGAATCTTCAACCTTACCTCGGGAAAGTCCATCTTCAAGGGAGCCCACGTAATCGACGTACCAAAGCCTGTCATCACTGGCCAAGAGATACTGGTCAAGGTGCATTCTGTGGCTCTCAATCCGAGCGACTACAAGCATATTGACGTCATCTCCCCCAAGAACTGCATCGTTGGATGCGACTACGCAGGAGAGGTGATTGAAGTTGGCAAGTCCGCCGTAGAGTCATGGAAGGTGGGAGATCGTGTAGCGGGTGTTGTCCATGGCGGCTTGCATCACGATAGGGGCGCGTTCGCAGAATACCTCAAGGCCGAAGCAGATCTGGCGTGGAAGATTCCCCAAGGCATCTCGGACGAGGCTGCAGCGACCTACGGTGTCTCAGCAGTCACTGCCGTGTTGGCGATGAATGTGCATCTTGGACTTCCGTGGCCTGATGAGGCAAAGCAAAAGCCCGAAGCATCTACACCGCGACGGACCGTTTTCATCTACGCAGGTTCAACAAGCGTCGGCCTCTTTGCCATCCAGCTCGCCAAGTTAGCGGGCTGCACCGTGGTCACAACAGCATCTCCACATTCTAATGATCTCGTCAAGAGCTATGGAGCCGACCACGTTTTCAACTACAGATCGGAGAATTGGGTACAGGAAGTCGTATCGGCTTTCCCAGACATCAGCCTGGCTCTGGACTGTATCTCAGAAAAGGGCACTGGTCCTCTGACGGCCAAAGTACTGCAGGCCAAGGGTGGCAAGGTTGTCACGCTGCTTGATCAAGGAGAGTCAAAGGTTCCAGGTGTCAAGTATGACATGATCATGCTTTATACGGTCTTTGGCAAAGAGTTTGCCTGGTTGCCGCCAATTGGACCCAAGTTCCCGGTCGATTTAGAACATCGACAGGCTCTCGCGCGGTTCTACGCAATACTTCCAAGGCTCACTGAGGTTTTAAGACCTCCCCCTATCAAACAGATTGGTGGTGGTATTGATATTTTGCTGGAGGAGTTAGACCAGTTGCGCAAGGGGAAGGTATCCGGGAAGAAGTTGGTCGTTAGGTTTTAGTGGAAGAATAAATTACTTGATCAGAGTGGCAATATCACCTAGAGCCGAGGGTGTGATTTACCAATGCATGTCAGGGTGTAGTGATGGAACTAGCTAGGTGATCAATGATGTATTGACCGGCATTCCACTCTGCCCCCTCACTAGATACGTTACGTTCACATCAGTCCTGCCTCCCTCCTGATATCCTAAGCTCCGAAGACTCTCGTTATTCATGTCAATCATAACCCGACTGATACAAGTTCTCGCAGAAATCTCGGCAACTCGTGTTCGATCAGTTCCCAGGACCAAGACGTGAAACAATCATGGGAAGCAGTAATCGATCAACATCGAAGTCTTCCCCAGTTGATTTCCCTCGCTTTCTCAAAGCCGGAGCCACAACAAGGCGGACTGGTTGATCTCGTCTCCCCGCCTCATCGTCTCCTTCCCATTCCATTTGCTCGGGATCAAAGGTCATCGGTGTCTCGTAAGTGATCCAATCCACACGCGCAACTTGTCTATAGATTTCCTTATCGAGAGCTAGAGCCTCATGCAGAATCCTCTCAAGCTCTAAACCCAGCTCATCATTCTCAATAATGATGATGGAAGCAACTGCATCCACTATACCGGATGCCGTATCTCGTACCGTGT